TATAAAATTAAATAGAAGTGTGGAAATGCTTATGAGAGGAAGGAATTTCTTGGATTACTAAACTTTTTAATATTATTTTGAAGACTAAAAAGATGCCAGATGAGTGTTGAATGAGTATGTTAATTCCTATTTTTAAGAATAAAAGTGATGCACAAGATTGTGCAAATTATAGATGAATTAAGTTAGAGTGTCATACTTTAAAACTATGGGAGCGAGTTATGGAGCATAGGTTGCGGCATGATACTTATGTTTCTCAAAATCAATTTGGATTCATGCCGGGTAGGTCAACTATGGAAGCCATACATTTAATAAGAGGTTTGATGGAGAAATATAGAGAAAATAAAGAGGATCTACTTATGATATTTATTGATTAAGAAAAAGCATATGATAAAGTTCCAAGAGAAGTGCTATGGAGAGTTCTTGAAAAAGAAAGGACTTATTAACACTTATATTCAAATTATTAAAGATATGTATGCAGGAGTTATTACTTGTGTTCAAACACAAGGTGGTTTGATCAAGTATTTTCCTATTTCAGTTGGGTTACATCAAGGATCAGCCTTAAGCCCATATCTTTTTGCCTTAGTCATGAATGTTCTCACTACACATTTGCAAGACGATGTACCTTAGTGTATTCTTTTTACAGATAATATTCTTCTTGTTGATAAGACTAGAGTAGAAGCTGAAGGTAAACTTGAATTATGGAGGTTAACCTTAGAGTCTTAAGGTTTTTGCTTGAGTAGATCTAAAACAGAATATATGGAGTGCAATTTTAGAAGTAATAGACCTAGCGAGGGGATGTGACTTTGGGCGATCAAGTCATTAATAAGAGTACATGTTTTAGATATCTTAGATCTATTATTCAAAGTGATGGTAAAATAGATAGGGATATTATTAGCAGAATTCAAGTTGGATGGTTAAAGTGGAGGAATGCATCGGGCTTGTTGTGTGATAAAAAAGTACCCCTCAAACTTAAGGGAAAATTATATAAGATGGTGGTGAGGCATGCAATGCTTTATGGTGCCGAATGTTGTCCATTAAAAGAGAAGCATATAACTAAGTTAAGTGTGGCAGAGTTGAGGATGCTCATGTGGATGAGTGGCTTTACCCTTAGAGATAGGAAACGAAATGAGCATATATGTGAAAAGGCTGGAGTAGCTCCAGTAGAAGATAAGATTAGAGAGAGTCTCTCCTTTGATGGTTTGATCACATAAAACGGCGGCCTTTCAATGACCCGGTTAGGAAAGTAGAGGTATTAGATTTAACTTATGTTAAGAAAGGTAGAGGCAGACCTAAAAAGACTTGGTTCGAAAATATTAGAAATGATCTTTCTCTATTAGATTTAAACGAGAATTTGACTTTTAATAGGATACAATGAAGAAAAAGGATTCATGTAGCCGACCCCACGTAGTGGGATAAAGGCTTGATGTTGTTCTTGTTGTTGTTGTTGTTTTCCACTCGCTTAGGTAAAAAAGTACATGAAGATTAACCAAAATGCTCTTAATCAAGTACAAAGGCAATAGTAATGTTAATAGCTTATAATAGAAATCCGGAATTTAATAATGAGAGATTCCCCTTGAGGGGTTTCTCACTCAACTACTCTTAGGCTTAGCGAATGAAGATACTCCACACTAGATTTGAGACCACCATTAGGAAGAAGGAACCGAGGAACTTTGTTGTTGGGAAGGTAGCCGGCGGTGGAGGATGCGTGGATCTTCCGACGAGGAGCTAAGGTGTTCTGGGTCGTTGAAGCTCGATAGTCTCGGCGAGGCAGTAAACGATGCGATTGACGTAGCATTCCACCGAGTCATCGTACTCCCAATCTGGTTCGTAGAAAGGAGATCGGAGGATGTCGATCACTCCTTGTGCGTTGTAAGCAAGGTCGTGGTCGATCTCAGGATCGGCCATACATTATTGGAGAGAAGGGGGAGGAAGGTTGTCTTCTTCGTTGGCTTTCAAAAACATAAGAATTGTTGGGCTTCCAAGAGGGAAGAGGCACGTGGGAGGGGCGGCTTGGGCTAGGAGAAGTTGAATGTTAGTTGGTTGAGAGGTGTAGAAATATTTAAGAAAAGAAAACCTAATTTTTAATTTCATATTTTTGAATTAGAGAGGGAGGGAAAATTAATGCAAATTCAAATTGTCCCCAAATCAGGGCTAGGGGCCGGCAATTTTAGGAGGGGATTAGGGGAGCATTAATTGTGATTTGAATTGAATTGGAGAGAGAAAAAACCTAGGGAAGGGGGACGGCCATGTAGAGAGGGGAAAGAGGGAGTTTTATGTTTAGTATGTGGGCCCCGAGGAAATTAATAAGGATTTTAATCAAATCTGAATTTAATCTCAGATTTAATTAAATTGGAAGGTTTCTAATCCTAGATTTAAGCAATATGAAAGTATTTGAAAATCCAATTAATTAATTGAATTCTCATTAGGAAGCTTACCTAATTACCAAATTCTATTTTTGGAAAAAAGAGTAATGGGCTTTGAAATTTGAATTTCAAATTTATGAATCAATGGGAGGGGCCGGCGGCTAGGCATGTGGAGAGGAGATGATGGAGGGGTGGAGGCTGGCGGTTGGGTAGGTGCTGGCCGACGGCTTGGACGGCAAGGAGGCTGGCGAATTGGGGAAGGGTTCGGTTTTGGGGAAAAGAAAGGGGGGTGAGAATGGTGAGGCCAGCGGGTGGATGGGTTAGGAGAGGGGGTTTGATGTAGAGGAAAAGAAAAGAGATCGTAGAACCGCGAATCTTGGAATCCTCCAAAGGTTGACAGGTATTGCTTTCACCCACACCTAGGGTTTCTCCTCTCAAGAACTCACTTAGAGAACAAGCAAAGAAAGATGAAATTTCATTCATAATTCATCATCGAATACAATAGAGAAGGCCACAATATATAGGCCTAAAGAAATAAAAAGACTGACTCATATGCCCCTGGGGCTACAAGTCAAGCAGACTCAAAAAGATAGGGTACAACTGTAAATAGCAAAATTAATACATAAAAGCATCAAAATATAGACTAAGCATAAAAAATAAAGACTGTGGATCGTAGCCATCGATCTATGACTCCTGCGCTGATATACTCATCGATATCATCTGTCGATGTCCTCATTAGAATGTGAGGTAGAATTGTAGTGTGAGGAAAGAGTGGAATTCTTGACGTGAGTGGGGAGCGGAAGCATGAATGTGAGTCAGGGAAGAGTACTACCAATATGTAGCGCATGGTCTAGCAAGGAAGCACACAGAATAATGGTGACCTATCTCGGAGCATTCGAGATGTATGGGTTCAGGAGCAATTGAGTCGCAAGCGAGTGGAACTAGTGTTTCAGTTTGTGAAAAAGGTGGTGATGAGGCACTAGAATTAGAACTTTGGATCAATGATAGGACTTTTCAGAACTGAAGCAAAAATCAAAAGCCAATTTTCAGGATATTCTCACTAATACCAAAACTTATGGGGAAGGGGAGGAAAAAACTCCATGTACAAAACTTGGAGTGATCTATGTACAGAATTTAATCTAAAGAACTCTTAATTTGACTCGCAAATAATTATATTTCATTCAACATCAGTCAATCAATAATTAATATTTTAAATTATAAGCAATTAATATCTTTTTATAGGAATAGATTTATAAAGATAAAGCAAAAATTTTAGATTAAAATCTAATCTAATAATATTTTGAAATCAAATTCAAGCCTAATTTATCTGGAAGAAGATAAATTAAACCTGATAAAATAAATCAAAAAAAATTTAATAATAAATTGGGAAATAATTAAACATGTTTTTAAGAAAATTAAAAATTGGCCTAGTTCAGCTCCTTATATTTCAACTCTTTTTTATTGGCCCATAAAAACCAAGTCTTTTTGGGTTAAACTCTCAAACTTCAGTGCATCAAATATCAAAAACAGAATAAAAATCACATCCTAACAAGCAACTATAGCTTGCATAATAACATCACTCAAACATGACAATGAACACAAATACTTGGATAGAGCATCATTACCGTGCAACCAAGTTCTGACTAATGAAGACACGAACATTCACAAAAGATACATAGCAACGTGAAACATTTAATATAAGAAAGATATGCAGTAATATGTAGATGATGGTTGGCTCCAACTGCCAGCATAAAGAAGTTCATCAAAGATTCCCGGACATTTAAAAAACTTAAAGAGTATAAGACAACATGATAAAAGTTAAAGATTAAATAGAAGCCACTAATGAGTAGCATCCTCGAAAACTACTTAAAAAATGGGAGCACTACAATTATGCTCAGTGAAGACAGAAATAGGACATGCAGGCATGGAGCAGACCAATAAAAAAGGAAGCCAACAGAAATATAAGTTAGGTGCCAGCTCAACTAAGAGAGAATTTTTTTAATCATTAGAAGATAGTCAGAGGCATGTTTTTGGATTTTTTTGGTTGAACAAGAAAGAAAAGCTTCACGCAATCAAATAATGCATCAACTATCATGTTGAAAAAGAAAGCAAAGAAGACACAATTGATCAAAGTTGGACGGGGTCAATTGTGCTCTAAGCACAAGCTTACACCATGTCTGCAGAACGTGTGTATTTAATAATAGTCCATAAAGGATTGTGGTTTTCAGTGTTTCTATAGAGAGAGAGAGACTCAACCATCCATTCTTCAAAATACCAAAACACCTTGAGAATGTAATATTCCCTCAGCATCTTGCCATTCATGTTCTGCGTCCTGATCTTATCCCGCCCCCGCAACCCCCCATCCACCCAACCAATATATTATGATATAATAAAGTAGGTAATAATCCAAGTAAAATATAAGAAATAAGAATTGTGCACGAAAGCAAGTTTTCCAAGCAGAATTAAATCCAATTAAAAATAAAAAAAGAATAATGCCACATTTAGTCAACTAATTGCATTAATTTAACTAGCAAAAAAGTGATTTGGAATTCCTTACTCAGGAAGAAAACAGTAGCACAACTTACAACAAAAAGGCAAAGGCTATTTAAACAATAAAATGAAAGAGAAGTAACCTACAGTAACATAACATGGAGCAATGGCAGCTGAAAGACGCCAATCAACATCCTCCCCAACAGGAGCATGAACAAAGCTGGCCTCCAATGCATTTTTCTTTCTCTCACTGCTAACACTCTACAATTCAAAAGTCGCATGCCTTAGAAACATGAAACAAATGGGTTCCTCAAGCCATTTAACAAGCAAACCTGTGAAAGTTGACCTTCAGGTGAAGACAAGCCATAGCATTTCAATGACACGTCACAGTGGATACTTCTATGATACATCTTGGTTGTGAGATTAAGCTGTTCAAAACTACCACAAACAATTTCAGTATGATTGATACTGATAATGCGAGCAGCAGCTTTGGCTATTGATACATCAACCAGGACTTGTATCATATTTTGTATGTCCTTCCCTCTAGGTGAAAAGGTACCCTCATCTGGCTGGTAACTCAACAATTTGTTAATTGCCTTCCACTCTTCCCTGATCAACATTTCCTCTTCAACCAACTGTGATTCCGAAGAGTTATTTTCAGCAGAAGAATCCCCGGAGGATGTGCTCCTAATAATTAGAATAAAGCATATTAAGCTTTGAGTGCATCAGCATGTATTTAAAAATTATTTAACAAAAACACATGGAAACCAAAGGCAGGCTTCCTCCCTGGAGCCAAGCAGACATTATATCGGATTTCATAAAGAGGCAAGGAAGGAATGTGCCAACTTTCTAAGAACTGATACTAAACAGGAGAAATTTTTATAGCATATTAGTTACCTGTATTAGCACCAAAAAACGTAAATAAAAAATTTAATTAACAAGTTGTCTGGATGATGCCAAGTCACCCAATATCCCAACAACTAAACCACAATATTTTTTTTAAAACCACTCTTTCTCTGTATCTCCACCCCCACAATAAATTTAATAGCACATTAGTTACCAATTTCTCTCTTTCTCCATCTCATTCAATCCGTCCCTCCTTTTCATTCTCTTTCATTTTGATGTAGTTAATTTTTACTTCAAATATCATAGATTTGTAAAGGAGAAATATTATAATAAAATAGGATAACATAAAAATATATTATACTAGGATAAAGTTCTTTTTAAATTGAACAGATATGATAATATATTTATTTTTAAAAAAATATTTGTCCATCTTAAAAAAAAAATTGTATGAACTTTCAACTGTAAAAAATGATTAAATCTTTATCATCTAATTAGTAGTAATACAACAACAAAAAAAACATCAAGCATTTGTCCCACTACGTGGGGTCGGCTACATGAATCCTATAACACTGTCATTGACGTGTCCCAAGTACTGGATGAAAAAGGTGAAGGGTTGCGTTAGGTAGTCGACAGCCAGCGTAAAATTTGTTGAATAATCATCACATCTAATTAGTAGTACAACAACAACAACAACATCAAGCCTTTATCCCACTACGTGGGGTCGGCTACATGAATCCTTTTTAAGAAACATCTAATTAGTAGTAATGTAAATGAAAAATAAATGTGCAAGAAAAGATTAAAAATAAGAAACTTTGTTATAAAAATTTGTTTAATTTTAAAAATTTTGATAATTAGGAAATATAAAGTGGCTCGTAAGGATGCTAAGAAAGCAATATGCGATGCAAAACCATTAGCTTTTAGTGATTTATATAATAGATTAGATACTAACGAGGGAGAAAGATATATGTATAAGTTAGCCAGACAAAGAGATAGAAGTAGTAAGGATTTAGTTCAATGAAGAGCATTAAGGATGAAGATCAAAAAATACTTTTCTTAGAAGA